TCATAAAGGCACTTATAGCGAGTTAAACTGTGTGGCTATTTTAGGCACTGGTACGCGACGCGAAAAATGTCCTGATTTTTTTCTATTCCCTTGGTCCTTGTCCAGGCGCCAATTAACCAAATCCTTTGTGTTTGGGTTAAAAAAAAAGCTAATTGCTTTATTGAGGTCTAAAAATGAACTGACTTATAACAATGGTAAGACTTAAGAATGAAGACTCGCTGCCACCGCTGCTGCTGTCGTCGCTGCTGCTGTTGGTGCCGCTGCTGCCGCTGTTGCTGTCGTCGCTGCTGTCGATCCCTTGTTGGTGATGGTTGCGCAAGTGTCCCACGATCGATGTTCTGCTGACCCAGGGCACGTGGCGGATATGCTGAGCTTTCTTCCGTTAATATTGGCTGTTAATGATGGTTGCGCAAGTATCCCACGATTAGGGTTCTGCTGACCGATGGCATGTGACGGATGTGTTGCAGACTTTGCAGAGTTTGCGGAATTGGCTGGGTGCATTTCTGGTGTTAATGCACTTAGCCGCACTTCGAGGTCAGCGCTGTTGTTAAGTTTGGCTGAGTGCATTTCTGGTGTTAATGCCCTTAGCCACATTTTGATGTCAGCATTGTTGTTAACTTATGTACATATTTGCCTGGATAGTAATTCGGTGAATATTCAGAGATTCGGCCTGGAGAAAAATTTTAATACAGTTGTTGGCTTTTTTTGTCGGTGTTTGTGGGCATCTTTAACCCGAACGGGATCCACTTAAATAGTTTGGACAATTTTTTTTTTCAAATAAAATTCAGCATTTGTGCATTTTTTCGGCTTTGGTTAAACGGCAAACACACATCCAAACATATTTTGTGCATTTTGGTGGTGCTTCTGTGCACATTTAACCCTTATCCAACCCAATAAAATTTTTTTGGAGGAATTAAATTTTTTAATTTTTAAAATTTAAAATTTAGATATTGTTGGATATTTATTAAGGAAGCATTTCGAGCATTTTGAAAATAAATTTATTTAACCCTTGTGTCCTACTGTTTTTACTTGGAATATTTTATTTATTTATATTAACCTAAAATGTCTGAAAAAGAAAAGGAAGCATCGTCAAAGCCTAGTGCTAAACTAATAGTGGCTATGCAAAAACACGGCAGGGTGATGATTGATATTCAACGTATGAGAACGTCGAATGAAAACCATTTCATTCGATAGGTTTCAAATGGAATACCGAATGCAACTTCTCGAAACATATTGCGAGAAATTGATGGATATCCAAGGAGATATCGATGTGCTAAATCCAGTGAATGATTTAAGAGCGTCTGTTGAGGAGATGTGCATAATTACAAAAGCGTTATATCGGTCCGCAATGAGAGAATTCGAGCCTCAGACACTTAGTCAAAGTGATATAGGTGGTTATCGTCATTCGTCTCAGTTACCAAAAATGAATCTACCGAAATTTAGTGGAAAACATTCCGACTACAAAAATTTTATAAGTCTTTTTGAGAGTTTAGTTCACAACGACCCATCTCTAACAAACATAGAGAAATTTAACCATTTGCTAACATGTTTAACATATGATGCATTAGGTACTGTGAAAGCTTTTCAAATTTCAGATTTAAATTATGAGAAGGCATTGGCTAGTCTAAAAAACGTGTACGATAATAAATGTTTGATCTTTTTTGATACGATTTCTCAGCTGTTTGACCTCCCGCAAGTATAAAAACCCTCTGCATCAGGCTTGAGGTCTCTTATAGATGAAATATCGGCCCTCTACGCATCGTTACAGTCCCTGGGTAGTGAAAAGGAAATAAACAACGCAATTTTTATTCACATAGCAATATCCAAAGTAGATCACACAACAAAATCCAGATTTGAGGAACAGCTAGATTATAATACGTTGCCGACATGGTCTGATTGTGCGACTCTGTTGAATCGGCGATATCAACATTTAGCTGCTGAAGAGTCAACCAAAAGTAAAGGGAAGCCTAACCAAGGATCCAATAGAGGATATTCCAAATCGTCCTTCTCATGCACACAAACAGATCGCAGACCTGAATCAAAATGTCGATATTGCTCAGCGACAAACCATAGTTTAGGCAGTTGTCAACCTTTCATGGCTTTATCAGTGATCCAACGGTTCGATTTTACGAAACACAATCGGTTGTGTATTAATTGTCTGAATCCAGGTAATCCAGTCAAGAAGTGCAAAGCAGTAAAGTGCAAAGCAGTAAAATGATACGGAGTAGAGCAGCAACCAACTTCTTCGGGATCACTTCCTCAAGTGCAAGCCCAAGCGCCTTCAGTAGCATTTGATCATCCCAATCAAGCCCATTCTTGTCATGTTGCAAGTAGTGACCAAGTTGTAACGAACTGTTTTTTTTGCTTTTATGCTCGCTACTTGATTGTGCGGATAGCTCAGTAATGGTTGTACGTTCGTCCCACCAAATTTATATGTTGTGATTGCCCCACCAGTGAATGAGAAGACAACGTTGATTTCTTGACTTCAAACTCGTTTATTTGACTTCTAAATCTGACAATTTGATATATTGCTCGCCGCGGTATGCTGCTCTCGATGCCGCCTCCTGGCTGTATCTCTACCGCAATGCCCGCCTTGGTACGCTTCCCTCGATGTCGCCTCCTGGGTTGAGTTCCTCTCCTGTGCTCCCGCTCGATCGCTGCCGTTGATGTCGGGTATTTCGCGTGGTGGAGTTGGACTATCTGGGCTCCACCCTAGTCCCTACTACTCCGTGCTGGGGCTGTTCAATCCTTGGGTCTCGGGGTTTAGCTGCTCCAGGACTCTGGCAGACACAGCAGGGTTCTCGGCGTGCACACCTTTAACACCCGTGCCGTTCAACTGCGCGTCCTTCGCGGCTTGTCGCACCAGAACGCAACTCTCGCCACGAGACGGATCAAGCGTACGCCGAATCACGGTGTGGTAGACTCTACAGTACGCGTCTGGTTCTTGACTTTTCCCCACCGAGGACACGTTTACTCGATTAAGGACTCGTATGTGTAGACTTAGTCAGGACCCGCCAGGCAATACGCCGGGCTCAATGTCTCCAACTAGTGGTCGTCACAGGCGCCTAATTCGAGTTGTGTGCTGCCCAAAGGACCTCAGCTACCTGTGTCTCAATTCGGAGACTTGCAACTTACAGTCCCGAACGTCTCGACGCAGCAATCTCGCTCCTTGTAGACTCCTTGCGTGGGATCCTTGCGTCCTTCGTCCGCGCCGTTGATCCTTTCTCCTCTTGTCCTTCGTGTTCGTCCTCGCTTGAATCCTTGCTTGTACCCTTGCTTGACTCCTCTTGCTTGTATCGTTGCTTGACTTCTCGCTGCCTGATGTATTCTTGTGTTTCACTTCTATTTGACTGATCTCGGCTGAACTGCGGGCCCCACTTATATAGGGCCCCCTGGTCCCGTTAATCCTCGGCATCTCCTTTTCATCCGGGTCCAAGGTCCAGCGGAGATCCCGTTACTTCTTCGGTTGGATCGCGTGACCGGGTCCAAGGTCCACCGCGATCCCGTTACTTCTTTGGCTGGATCGCGTGACCGGGTCCAAGGTCCACCGCGGCCACGCTATCCTTTTATCCAGCCCGTGATTATTTGTGGGGAGTTATCCAACTCCTCACATTCCCCCTTACTTCGGAAAGGAAAACGAAGCTCGTATCTCCGCTCCGGCTGTCTCCTCCTGACTCCTTCGTCGCCGATGCATCCCTCGTAGACGTTTTCCCCACAGACTCTTCCCTCGTCGGCGTATACGTTTCCCCATAGACGTTTTCGTTTCTCTCGTAGACGTTTCCCCGACTTAAACTTCAATTTTGAATTTGCGCGCCTACTGGATGCAACTTCAATTTGAATTTGCGCGCCTTCCTGACTATCCTCCGCAGATTTGAATTTTCGCGCCTTCCCGACTTCCTCCGCAGATTTGAACTTTCGCGCCTTCCCGATTATCCTCTGGTTACACTGTCAGCTGGTTGATCTGTTTCCACCTGCACACATCAAGTGCAGGGTTGCTACTTGATCGGGGTGGATTAGTGCAGTGTTGCCCAACGCATACCGATATTTCCAATTGTGCTCCCATCGATTGCCCTTCTAGTGCAAACCGATCGCGCCTTATCTAGGCGCCCCCATCCCCAATATGCAATGAATATGCAAATTCGGCCAGTTGTTGTTTTTGTCCTTCGACTCCACTTATTCTGGATCCAGCTCGCAGCCATGCCCTTTCTTGTCCTTGACAACGGGTCAATGCCCTCCTTGACCACGGGTCAATGCCCTCCTTGACGACTTCGGTGCCCTCCTTCGGAATTCGGTCGGTGGCTGGTTTGTTTATTCGTAAGTGGGCCAACATTTTCCTTTCACATACTGATTTTCCCTTTTTTATTTCAGATCGTTGAGCTCCTGGGCAATTTTATACATTTTTTTTTTTTTGTTATTTTCTTTTCCTCCTCTTTTTTTTTAATTCCAATATGCCCATTTTTTTTCTTTTTTTTTTAAATCCATTTAGTTCCTTTCCTTTTATTTTTTCCCTGTTTTTTTTTTTGTTCATAGTGTGCTCGGCTGTATCGTTTGTCTCGTACGGTACAGCTTCTATTTCCTGTGCTGTACCGTCTCTCCCCTCACTTCGGGAAAAAAACAAATATGGATTTCCGATCAGCAGAATCTGGCGCTAGCCTGATGATAAGTCTGTCGGCTGCTCCTGGCTAGGTGTTTCCTCTGTCGGCTCCGGCGTACGCTTGACGCCGACACGGATTGCCATCGCCACATCACTCCTGTGTATCATGTATTCCTTAATCTCCAAACGGCCTGGCCCGAATCTTACAGACTTTGGCATATGCCCGACGCTAAACCCGTGTATGCGGTGGACTTTGGCATTTGTCCGACACTAAGATGATCCTGCTGGCCTAGCCTTACAGACTCTGACTTATGCCCGACGCTGAAACTGCCCATGCGGTTGACTCTGGCCTTCGTCCGACGCTAAGACTACTTGCCTCCCCTTCCATTTTCCTTTTGCGTATTTCTTAGTTTTGATTGGATCGCGCCGCCTTCTCGTCCGGTCCGGCGTCTTCTGTCTGTTGTTGTTGTTTAAGCCCGCTTATGTGCACTGTTCGCTCCTTTTGTGTTTTCTGGTGGCGTATTTTGCAAATCACTGGCGATGTGAAGTCCGTGACCTGGTACGGCCCGTCGTATCTTGGTGCCAGCTTTGCAGCGAAACCTTCGACAGCCTTAGATAAATGGTGTTCTCGGGCCCAGACTATGTCTCCCACCTTGGGGTTCCACTCTCTCCGCCTCAGGTTGTAGTGCCTGCTTTGGTCCTGGGCAGCCTTCTCCAAATTCCGACGCACGACTTCGAACAACTCCCGCAGCTTCTTTGCATTCTCTTCTGGCGTTTCTGCTGCCTTTCCTGTCCCTATGGTTTCTCTGTCGTACAGGCTGTTTGGTAGACGTGGCTCCCGCCCTTGCGTGAGAAATGCTGGGGAGTAGCCCGTCGAGTCTGACACGCTCGAGTTGACTGCTAGCATAATTTCCGGTCATTTTTCGTCCCAGCATCTTTGGTCCTGCCCCGTGAACTGTGCTATCATTGTCTTCACCGTTCTATTCGCCCGTTTTGTGGGGTTTTCTTGAGGAGTATAGGGTGCTGTGAATTGTTGCCTAACACCCATTTTTTCTAAGATCTTCTTGAAAGCCTTACTTGTGAACTGCACTCCGTTGTCCGTTATCAGCACCTTTGGCACTCCGTATCTGGCTATGATTCTTTCTCTAAATGCCTTTTTTAACGAATCTGCTGTCGCGCTGCGCAGAGGTACGAGTTCCGTCCACTTGGAGAATCTGTCGATCAGCATCAACACCATTTGATTTCCGTGCTTTGATCTTGGTAGCGGTCCCACAAAGTCACCACACACTGTAGCCCAAGGTTCCTCCGGGACCTGTGTTAGCATTTTCCCTGCGGCCTGCAGTTGATTTGGCTTATATTTTAGGCATGTTTCACATTTTCGCACGTGATTCCTGGCGTCTCTATGCATGCCTGGCCAGTAGTATCGGGCTGCTAGGCGTGCTATTGTTTTTTGAGTGCCCGTATGTCCGGCTGCTGGCGCGTCATGGTTTTCCCGTAGCACTGACTCTCGCTTGTTGAGCGGCACACACAGCTTCCAGACTACTACATCCTCATTGCCAGCTTGATGTGGTATGTGTCTGTACAGGGATTCGCCTTCCACCACGTAGTCCGGGAATTTTTGTGAATGGGTTTTCAGCTTTTTGCGCATGTCCTTCGTCCAGTCTCCACTGTCCGCTGCTCCCTCCTTAGCTATTCTCACTGTTTCTTGTAATGGTTGTCTGGATAGAGCATCGGCTACCACGATCAGCTGGCCTTTCCGATAGCTGACCTCAAAGTCGTACTGCTGCAATTCTAGGGCCCACCTTGCTATCCTTCCGAAGGGGCTCTCTATGCTGTTTAGCCATTTCAATGCCATGTGATCAGTCACCACCTTATAGTGGTATCCCTCAAGGTATGGCTTCAGCTTTCGTATGGCCCAGACGATGGCTAAACACTCCTTTTCCGTGGTGGAGTAGTTCTTCTCCGCTCCGTTCAGGGTTCTGCTTGAATAGGATATAACCTTCTCGCCTTCGTCTGTCTCTTGTGTCAGGATCGCCCCTATTCCGTAGTCACTCGCGTCTGTCTGTAGAGTGAATGGCTTCCCAAAATCTGGGCATGCCAACACCGGATCCGCCACCAATCTCCTCTTCACTTCTTCGAATGCTTCTTGATTTTCCTGTGTCCACACCCATTTTGTGCCTTTTCGGAGCAGGTTGTTTAGTGGCTTCACTATTCTTGCGAAATCTGGCACGAATCGACGGTACCACGAAGCCACTCCCAAATACTGCCTTAAATCTTTTGTTGTTGCTGGTGGTTTTAGCTCGGCTATGGCAGCTACTTTTTCGGGGTCTGTCCCTATCCCTTGGCTTGTCACTCGGTGTCCTAGGTACAGCAACTCTTGCCTGAAGAACTGGCATTTCTCCGGATTTATCCTCAGGTTTGCTTCCCTCAGTCGTTTGAACACTTCTCGTAGATTTTTCTTGTGTTCCTCCAAAGTCCTACCGATCACGATGATGTCGTCCTGGTATGCGAATGCGTGAGGTGACATTTCTGGACCGATCACCTGATCCAACGCCCTTTGGAAGGTTGCCGATGCTGAGTGTAATCCGAAACGCATCACTTTCCACTGGAAGAGTCCTTTGCCGGGTACTGTGAACTCCGTGAATTGTCTACTTGACTCTTCCAACTCTTCCTTCAGATCCAGACTGCTGATGAACTTGGCCTCCCGGAGTTGGTCTAAAATGTAGTTTATGCGCGGCATTGGGTATGCGTCTTTGATGGACTTCGCGTTTATTTGTCGGAAGTCGACACATATTCTCCATTTTCCAGTCTTCTTCCTGACCATGACTATGGGCGAGCTATATGGGCTTCTCGAGTGTTCTATGCATCCCATTTTTAGCAGTTCATCCACCATCTCGTTTATTTCGCCTTGGATCTTCGGATTCTTTGGGTAGTACCTTTGCTTGATTGGTTTGTCGTCCTTCATGGTTATACTGTGTTCTGCTATGTTAGAGGTTCCCGACATTCCTTGAAAACCTTTCAGCTCTGGTTTTAGAAAACTCTCGACGTCCTCCTCCTCGATTTCGCTCGTAACTACCGCCACTGACAATCTTTCTTCAAGCCACCCGTTGTGCCGTTTTCTCGCCGGAATTCGTAGTTCATGGCCAGCACATCTGACCTCAGCTCCTATGCCAGTTATAAAATTCCATCCAAGCACCAAAGCGTCTACCACTCCTGGGAGTACCAACAAGCTCATGTCTAGTCTTTTGTTTCCGAATCTGACCATGACCTTGAGTTGTGATGATATCTCGCTGCATCTTCCGTCTGCTAACCTAACTTGCCGTCTTGTGTCTTCTATTTTCCCCACTTCCGCCAGTGTCCTTGCCAACGCTTCGCTTGTGAAGCTTGCTGTGGCTCCTGTATCGATAGTAGCTGTCGGCACCCCCCGCGCCCAGTGTCCATGTCCGCCACATCGTCTGCAGGCTTCATGTGGGTTGGAGACTATCGATTGGGCTCCGCCGTTTCGTTGTCCCTGTAGTCTCTGACTTGTGTTCGGTGGTCTCCATTGCGGGTTTGGCGGCTGGGTTCGCGGAATTGCGATCTGTGGTGTCCATTGGCCTCTTGTAGACGTCACCGGAGCCTAAGCTTCCTCACATCTTCAGCAGGTGACTGGCGCTTGGGATGGTCCTTTGCTTTTGCAGAATTTGTTTTCCTGCACGAACGCTTCTCTCTCCTTTTCATCAGCGTCTCCAGGTCGTCGATCTTGTATGTTCTTAGGGAGATCCTAAGATCTGGTGTGCAGTTTTCTTTTATCACTTCGAGGGCTTCTTTCGTAGAGTATCCGAGTGGCCTCATCAACGTTTGCATGTCGACCATGTAGTCTTTGAATGATTTTCCGAAGGCTTGTTTTCTCTGCTTCACTCGGTCCGCCAACTTGGTAAAGAAACCCCTCGGCAGGAAGTATGTCTGGAAACTTTCGCTGAACTCGCTCCACTTTTTCCAGTGTTTGTTGTTTGAGATGAACCATTTTAATGCCTTCCCCTGTAGGAGCTCCGGCATAGCTCGCGGAACCATGTTCAAATTCAAGCCATAAGTGTTTGCGGACCACTCCACTTGTTCCAAGAATTCTAGTGGCTTTTCCGTTCCGTCGAACTTGAATGACCATTCTCTGACCTGTTTCGCGATCTTTGCGTAGTCTGGCGGGCTTGGCCTTGGGTTTCCTTGTTCATCTCTTGTTCGCCCAGTGCTTCTGCTTCTGCCTGACTCCTTCATGCTATCTACATCCGGGCTAGCTATTAATTGTTCGGGATCCTGGTGCGTTATCTTGAAAGATGGTGCTGGTTTCCGGGTCGTTTTCGGTTTCATCGTAGTATGCGGCTAATGCTTTCCGCTTGTCCTCCGATCTGCCTTCCAGCTGGATGTTCAGTTTCGCCGCCACTCTTGTGAAATCCTCGGACTTCAGCAGGTATATCCAGCTCTTTCCCATCTCTGTTGCTTCTGTTCACTTGATAGGACAATTCACGTTGGGCGCCAGATGTAACAAACTGTTTTTGTTGCTTTTATGCTCGCTACTTGATTGTGCGGATAGCTCAGTAATGGTTGTACGTTCGTCCCACCAAATTTATATGTTGTGATTGCCCCACCAGTGAATGAGAAGACAACGTTGATTTCTTGACTTCAAACTCGTTTATTTGACTTCTAAATCTGACAATTTGATATATTGCTCGCCGCGGTATGCTGCTCTCGATGCCGCCTCCTGGCTGTATCTCTACCGCAATGCCCGCCTTGGTACGCTTCCCTCGATGTCGCCTCCTGGGTTGAGTTCCTCTCCTGTGCTCCCGCTCGATCGCTGCCGTTGATGTCGGGTATTTCGCGTGGTGGAGTTGGACTATCTGGGCTCCACCCTAGTCCCTACTACTCCGTGCTGGGGCTGTTCAATCCTTGGGTCTCGGGGTTTAGCTGCTCCAGGACTCTGGCAGACACAGCAGGGTTCTCGGCGTGCACACCTTTAACACCCGTGCCGTTCAACTGCGCGTCCTTCGCGGCTTGTCGCACCAGAACGCAACTCTCGCCACGAGACGGATCAAGCGTACGCCGAATCACGGTGTGGTAGACTCTACAGTACGCGTCTGGTTCTTGACTTTTCCCCACCGAGGACACGTTTACTCGATTAAGGACTCGTATGTGTAGACTTAGTCAGGACCCGCCAGGCAATACGCCGGGCTCAATGTCTCCAACTAGTGGTCGTCACAGGCGCCTAATTCGAGTTGTGCGCTGCCCAAAGGACCTCAGCTACCTGTGTCTCAATTCGGAGACTTGCAACTTACAGTCCCGAACGTCTCGACGCAGCAATCTCGCTCCTTGTAGACTCCTTGCGTGGGATCCTTGCGTCCTTCGTCCGCGCCGTTGATCCTTTCTCCTCTTGTCCTTCGTGTTCGTCCTCGCTTGAATCCTTGCTTGTACCCTTGCTTGACTCCTCTTGCTTGTATCGTTGCTTGACTTTTCGCTGCCTGATGTATTCTTGTGTTTCACTTCTATTTGACTGATCTCGGCTGAACTGCGGGCCCCACTTATATAGGGCCCCCTGGTCCCGTTAATCCTCGGCATCTCCTTTTCATCCGGGTCCAAGGTCCAGCGGAGATCCCGTTACTTCTTCGGTTGGATCGCGTGACCGGGTCCAAGGTCCACCGCGATCCCGTTACTTCTTTGGCTGGATCGCGTGACCGGGTCCAAGGTCCACCGCGGCCACGCTATCCTTTTATCCAGCCCGTGATTATTTGTGGGGAGTTATCCAACGCCTCACAAAGTTATTCTTGCTACGGCTGTCGTTAAGGTACGGGATAGATTTGGACAGTTTCAATTAGCACGAGCTCTGTTAGACTCAGGGTCTCAAATAAACTTTATGGCCGAGGACTTAGCACAGCGTTT